GCTATAAGGAAGGGGCTATAAGGCCATGATTTGCATACTGCTTTGTATCTCCTCTCTCTCTTGATTGGTTGCCTCTCTCCCGAGGGGGAGGGTGAAACCCCCTTCCACACTCCATCATTGCCAGGAGGCAGGATTAGAACGCCACTCTAGGCAACGGCAACCATTCAAAAACTGGGAGGCAAAAACCCACGAAACAGCGAGTCCGTGAAAAGCGAACTGCGAAGTAGCGAGGGAACACTGTAGCCTCAACCAGGGAGAACCACAACAGCAGACTGAGCAGAGAGAGCATTGGCCTGGTTACAGTTTCCATATTGCTTTTCTGTTGATGATAGTCTTTGTCATGAAATTTGCATGCATATATATATGCAGAGCCATATGCAAATTCTATCCTCTTCGTGACAAGGCAGTTCTGCTTTTCTTTTCTCTTTTCAGGATGCAGCCACCCTACTTTCTACCTGATCCGTTTTCAGATCAAAGGCAAAGAAGAACAGAAGAGAGTCTGTTCTTCCAAACATTAATGATTTCTGGTAAGCTAGCAAAGGGGCAGAAATCCATATCTAGTCCAACATAAACCATGTATTGCATGCCTATTTATTTTACTTTCCAATCAACAATTAATTTCAATTGTAATGGAACTAGATTAAACCAGAGAAGGTGGCTCATTCATCCAAATTTCATCTTTGGAATGAAAGAGCACCATCCTGAACAGCCTCCAAAAATAGACTGGGGCAGAGGGTGTTTTAGAACTAGTTTGGCTGATTCATCCCTTCTAATGCAGGAAACACAATGCATACAGCTCATCTTTTTCTTTGATCCTCTTTGATCTCACTCTCTCGTTCAGTTGATCGGTTGCAAGATTGACCTCACACTGGGCAAGGTCATTCTGGATGACAAATAGGAGATCAAGAGATATGAATGTCTGGAAAAACCTAGCTAAATGAATGGGAGTTTTGCAACAGCACCTTGTGGACTGTATCTACCATGATCATGAGTATCTGCATGGATGTCAGTAGCATCATGTGTCTTAGGCACCAGATTAAGAGCACCAAAACGCCCAGAGTTGGTTCTGGACAGAGCTGGTCCACCGTTATTGCTATAGTTTTCCATGCATTTCATTTCTGACACAGCTTAAATCCTTCTTTGTTTCTCTGGTATTTTATGCCAACAGGAACATATACTTACTTTCTCATTTCCTGCTGACTATATAATTACACAGTTCCAATATGTCACATATCTCTAAAAATATACCTCTTCACAAAATACTGGAAGATATATTATTTATGTGAGATATGTTAGTGATGGAAAGCATTACTATGGATGAAGATGCAATGCATTTATTAAATGAAGATATACAACAACATGAGAAAACATAGCTTGAAAAAGTTATTTTTGCACAACTGGCATGGTGACTTTGAGATTCTAGGAAGCTCTGGCATTCTCTTGTTTTGAACAAGTAAATTTGTATATCTTTAATTACTAAATTTATCTCATCTCCTCCATGTGATGTCAGGGTAAGATCCATTATGGTTACAGTCATCTTCACCTTTAACTTATTTCTGTATTAAGATCTGGTTCAGAGACTCCTCTTCCCTGTTTCTGTCATCTGAGGTGAGCAGGGTAGCCACTATCTTCCTACTTAGCTGAAGAAAAGTACAACTTGCACAAAGTGAGTTTCTAGGACTCAACTGTGGTTCTAACCTGGTTTTCGAGTGTCCTGATCCAGCATTCAAACCACTAAACCATACTGGTTCCCTATACCAATTAACCTGGACGTAAATCCTTCTGACCTCGATAGGGCATATTTCTGAATAAGCCTATGGATATTGTATGGTTAATCTTTTCACAACTCCAAGTTTGTTTCAAGATGTAAACTTAGAACTTACTTCTTAGAAGTAAATTTTATTTTAATCAGAAAGACTTAAATCAGTTTTTCTGAAAGGTACCATTTTCTGATATAGTGCAGTCTGACCTTTCTTGAGTCATGTATAAAATCTGTAGGGGAAAAAAAAGAATTAGCACAATGCTAGTTCTTCAATATCACATGCATGAAAATATCATCATAGCATTAAAACAAAGTAGATACAATGCCACATAGAGTACACTCATTGAATGTAATATTAGCCCTATGGAGACATAGCTACAACACCCCCAATGCCCTCCCTACGGATTTCTATTCTTAACGCCTTGTATCCCTCCCCCCCCCCCCCCCATACAACCATTTCCAATGCACCGGAAGGCAGGGTGATGAATAATGATTTCTACAGCCCTGTCTCAGTTGCTGGGCACACTGAGACATACAGATGCAGCAGCTCTTTTTGATATCCTGTTGCAGCTGTCTGTCTCAGTGTGCCCTGTGACTGGGAGAGGGCTAGACATGTCATTACTCACCACTCAATGCTTCAATGTCTCAGAAATGGTTGTGTTCGAAAGGAGGGGGGTGCTGTGAGACTTCAAAGATAATATTTTGAGAGCTCATTTGGTCTATGCAGTTGTATTAGATTATTATGATTTTGTAAACCAGGCTTACGACATCATCATTACTGAACAGACAAGCAGACAGTTTTTCAAACTCTTGAAAGCATAACAAGTGAATTGGTTACTACAGGGTCTCATGTGTGGTTAAGCAAAACATAACCTACATCATCAATAGCAACAGAGACAGCCTTCAACAGTGAAGAAGCCACTTCAGACATGACCCCCTCCCCCCAATGAAGGAAAACAAAGTCCACACACACATGAATAACTATTCTCACCAGATCACTATCATATGGGAGTTTATTCTGACAGAACTATATCAGAGGGAAGGTAACACTTACTACAGATCCATGGCCTATACACTTTCAGAGAATCAAATATGTGTGCAGTTCTTTATTGGTGCGTACTTACTTATCCTTTTCCAAAACAGAGATTGTAGTCACCAGAGAAATATAATATATTTCTCAAAATATTTAATTCCACTGGCAGGGCTCCTCTTTCTTTCCTGCTTCTACTCTGGTGGTTTTGTGGTGTTCATGGGCCAAATTCCACCTCCCTTCTCCCATCCAGTGTCCATATGCAGGCATGTTCCCAGGAGCATTTTGACTGCCCTTGGGGAGAAAAAGCTGTTTTCATCCCCAATAAAAGAAGGCTCTTCTTCTCCAGGTGCTCAAGGACATCTTGAATGTCCCAGATGCTCCCTGCAGATGATCAGTCTTCAGAAAGAAGGATCTGCATCTCAAGAGCTTCCATATAACCAGGAGAAGGGGGTTTGCACAGGATTTCTTTCTGCACATGACAGCATCAGCAAGAATTATATCAGCATTTATAACTAGCAGAAGTGAGCTGTAACTTCTGCAGAGTACGTGTTAACTTTCCATATGGCACTTTGCTTTGTCAGTTTATGGATGGACTATTGATCCACTGGAAGTGAAAAACAGATTATTTGTAATATTTTGATTCCACACAGAATTTACTGCTACTGCTTTACATCAGCAGTGGGAAACATGTGGCTCTGAGACTATGTGTTCCTCTGAAGGCTATATTGGTAAATTTGGACCTCTTTAGACTTTCTAGATGGCCCCTTTTCTGGTGAAAACATAGTATGCATTGCTGTTTCCAAACATATCCAGGAATCATCTTTAAATACATTGCAGGCTGCACTTCATTACCTGCTTTCAAACCAGTAGTGAACTTTTAGCCACTTCTGGTTGGTTGAGTAGGTTGGTCTTTTTTAATCTATTAGTGATACCCCCAGACAGTTCAAGGGCGGGAGAAAATGACCTCCAGAACTACTGCATTTACCTTCTCTTGTCTTATTTGGCCCTTATTTAAAACTCTTTGAAGCCAGATTAAAAACATTATAACATGCTATGAGACTAGCATAAAGCACTATATTGAAAATATAATGCTGGAAAACCAACCAAAACAGATGAGTGCCCCAAGACTCGGCAATCTTGTTCACTTCCTCTTTGAAGTTATGAATAACTGCTCATAGGCTGGTATATTCTTTGCCAAGACTTGCTAAAATATAGTAAAGCATAGTTAGTGTTACCCACTCAATTTAAGATCAATTCAAAATGTTGAATGAATACATACACTAAAACACAGTGTTCCTATTCACTTTCCTGAGGTTTAGAGAAGTATCTGTTATTGATATCAATATATCACACATACAAGTTTATCTCTGTTTAATCAAGGATTGAAATCTCCAAGATACCAGATTTCAAGTTTACAGAAAAGTTAAAGATGCTTTTTAGTTCAAATGGTATTTCGTGCCAACATTTTACAGATAAACATTACTAATGTGTGTGTGGGAGAAAGAACAGATTTTGGAGCTGTAATGTGTTGCCTTTATGAGTTTATTCTCATATGTATATTAATCCCTCCTACACACACAACTGCAAATTGAGCAACTGCAATATTTTGGAAGGAAGCACTGAGGTGATAAAATGGAGCAAATAACAAAAACCATATTGCTTAGGGACTGAAAAGAAAACCCTAAATTCTTGTAGCAAGGTATCATTCTCTTTTCTAGTTCTACCGATATCACAGGATATTCAAGGCACATTCTTGAGGTTGGAGGGAAAGACCTGAATTAACAGACAAGTATTTAAGAAGTTATGTATCTAAGGGCAACCTCCTAAGATTTTAGTGGAAATTGAGAGACAATCAGGTATCCTTCCAGATTTATTCATATAAATAATAGTAAGATAGTTATAAAAAAAACATGCATGATATTTTCATATAAATGCCTTTCAGTGAGTTCTCTCCTCTCTCTCTCCTTTCTCTATATATGTATGGTATCAAACATAATTTGTACCCTATGGAGAATTTCATGCAAGCCTGTGACTACAAAACCTACAGTTACAAAACTATCCCACAGTAAACATCGGCAAAGCAAGATTTTCTTCAATGTAAGTGAGATTGCTGGCAAATTCTTAAGCAATTGGAGCACCATTAACTTAGCTGGCATGATCATTATTCAAATGCATTTATTTTAAGCAGGAGAGGAAAAGCATTACCTGAACTTCCGTCTCACTTCAGAGATGGCGAAGGAGATTGATGCCTTTAAGCAATTTTCTTCTCCCATTCAAAAAGAGCCAAACAAACATAGAAATGAAATCCTCAGAGAGATAGAGAGGGACGGTCCCAGGAAGCAGCTGATAACAGTCAAGAAATAAAAGAAGGGTACCCTGTGATGTGTGAACTTCATCTGGTCACATCAGGGCAGTGGGGAACTTGAGCTGAGCTGAGGCATCGTCCAGGGCTGGTGCCTTCTGAGAAGAGGACTTCTTTGATCCTGGCTGCAGGGCTCTTCTGTACCACCAGCTGGCTCTGATCGAAGCTGGAGTGGGAAGCTTTGTTTCAGAGAGCCGCCTCCCACCTCTCTCAGGGGGGTGCTGTCTCTTCTCCTACATAGAGAAGGGCTCACATGCAACATGTTTCCCTTTCCCCTCTCAGCCTCTCTAGGCTCCTGCCAGGCCGGTTCAGAAGAGGTCAGTCTCTCTCGCCAGGAGTATTTCAGGTTGCCTCACCACCTCCTGCCTTATCCCCATCTAGCCTGGAAAGAGGAGCTCTTTGGGAAGAGGAGCCCTTTACACGCTCCCTGGAGCTGTCCACCGCCAATGGTGCTGAAAATAGCAACTGCTCGCCGACTACACTTGCCTTCCCAGCTATCACCACTAGGGGCAGCATGGCTCTGGTTTTTTCCCCCCTCAATCAACCCAACTTCTCATTCACTCCCTTCCTTCCTCCTCCTTTCCTAGTCAGAAGGAAAAAAAAGGTATTAACGAAAAGGCATTAGCCTCGGGTGAATCAATGGTCCTTCAAATAACAGGGCAAAAGTTTGAGAAAATCAGCTTGCTCAACTCTTGCCTTAGAGATGCTGCAAACAAAAGTCTTCCATCAAGGCAATGGAGATCATAGCTTGCCCTCTGTCCCCTTTCTTTTGTTTCCAGGGATTAGTGTATTGGCAGCCAGTTAAATCCCGCCTAAGCACGCGTATAACACACACACAAAACAACAACCCACTCCTCTCATTCAGCCTCAAGGTACTAGCAACAAGAAGTGAAGGAGGCTGGTGAAGACACTTACCTTCTTTTCTTTTTCTTACCTAAGCCTTTCAGAGTTCTCCTGAATCTGCGAAGAGTGAAGTGAAACGACAGCAGTGAGAATATAAGCAGAGAGGTTCAAGGAGAGAATTTACATTTTGCTTTGCCTGGAGGAAATTGATCAAAGAGGGCTAGAGGGTGAAATTGACAGGGTCAGTAGGTTAGCAGCTCTGTTTATTTCTGAAGCGCAGTCCTTCCCCATCTCCCATTCAGCCCTAGGCATGTAATCCAATGCAGTGGTTGTGTCTTGATCCCTGAGAAAATTATGTATACAAATTTAAATTTCAGGAGAATTGTCCTATTTTTAAATGTCTATCCTTTACAATTCTTTGTTTAAAAAATCTAATTCATTGGGGATGGGGATTTCAAGCAATAACAGTATCTGTTGTGCTGATTCCTTAATATTCTCCTCCAGTAAAGTAGGGCTCTGTGAGAGCTAACGGGTCATAGTGGTTTGGGCATTGGACAAGGTTTTGCATTCCAACTCAACCATTGAAATACCAGTATGTATTCAGAGGTTAAGATAGTCCAGGGAGGCCCTGGAGAGACAGGGCCTTCTCCGTGATGGCCCCTCAGCTATGGAACTCCCTCCTCAACAAAATCAGACCATCCCCTTCTCTCCTGACCTTTAGAAAAAAACTTAAGACATGGCTTTGGGACCAAGCTTTTGGCAAGTAATTGGAGCAGTGCAATAAGTAACCAAGAATCAATATGATTGACAAATGCTACAGGCCTGGATTATGTTTTGTTAGTGTGATTTTAACTGATGTTTCAATAATTCATATTTTAATTGTTTGGTTTTAATTGTAATTGTTTATTTGATATATGTGTGCATTGCATCAAATTGCTGCCTGTTGTAAGGCCACCTTCAGTCCTCTCCAGGTTGAGAAAGGTGGGATACAAATATGGTAAATCAGTAAATAAATAAATATGTGACCTTGGGAAAGTCATTGTCTATTTGATATATGTGTGTATGGCATTGAATTGAGTCCCCTCTGGGGTGGGAAAGTCAGGATACAAATATGGTAAATAAATAAATAAATAAATGTGTGACCTTGGGACAGTCATTGTTTATTTGATACTAGCTGTACCCGCCACGCGTTGCTGTGGCCAACCTTCCCTCCCTCTTTCTCTCGTTCTTTCCTTCTCTCCTTTCTTCCTTCTCTACCTCTTTTTTCCCTTCCTTCCTTTGCTCTGTGGTTCCATCCTTCCTTCTCTCCTTCCTTCCCTCTTTCTCTCCTTCTTTCCTTCTCTCCTTCATTCCCTCTCTCTTTCCTTCCTTCCTCTCTTTTTCTTTCCTTCTCTCTTTCCTTCTTTCCTTCTCTCTTTCCATCACTTCTTTTCTCCTTCCTCCCTTCCCCCTTTCCCTCCTTCATTCCTTCTCTTTCTACTGCTTTTTTGTGGGGTTTTATGAGTGATGGTCACTCATTGGTCTGTTAGGGGTGTAGTGTCCAAATTTGGTGTCAATTCATCCAGTGGTTTTTGAGTTATGTTAATCCCACAAACGAACATTACATTTTATTTATATAGATAGATATGTGTGTACGGCATCGAATTACCTGTTGTAAGGCCACCTTGAGTCCCCTCTGGGATGAGGAAAGTGAGATACAAATATGGTAAATAAATAAATAAATATGTGACCTTGGGAATGTCATACTCTCCTCAGCCTCAGAGGAAGGCAAAAGCAAGTGTGTACACACGTACACACACACACATCTCTGAACAAGTCTGATCAAGATAATCCTAGGATAGGTTCACTTAAGAATAATCATAAGTTGGAAGTAACTTGGAGACACACAACAACAGCAACAACAACAACAACAACAAGGCATGTGAGTATAAGTGTGTACATAGTTTAGGGTAGAATTCATCCTATATAATTCCAAAGAGTACTCATGACCTCTGGACTCTGATAGTGCTTCAGCATCGCATTTTGCTACATATTGGGAGAAAAGTGGTGTCTAAATAAAGTAAATAAATAAATGGACAGACTAATCCATTTTTACTGGAAGGAATGAGGTGGCCCCCTGGCAAAGGTTAGGGGCTGCATTTCAGCTCCCCAAAGGACTCCACCCCCCACCCCATCCAAATTCTAGAAGTTCTACGAAGAGCATTCACAGTTTTGGCTTTCATTCTAGTAATAACAAGGATGATCAAACCTTTGTCAAATATTATAAATCTTGTGATACATCATGTCCTTTTCTGTATATAGGTTTTAAAAAACCCTTCTGATGAATCTCTAGTTTCTGTTAAGCCATCAAGCTCATTATAGAACTCTGGTTACTCGGTTTGTTAAAGCTAAAGGTATTTCAGAACCCCACATAAGCTCAGTATTTACTGCATGATTTGAGGGTAATCTAACAAGACAATGTCCTGGAGTTCTTCAGCCCTGTTGGGTATCGTTATTGACTGTTTTCGTAGACCAAACCAATATGTTTGCATTGCTATGGAAGCAGCAAGGGGAGAATTAAAACCGTAAACTGGAAATAGAAAGCAAATGTTTCTCCCTTTTCATTCTTGTTTTTTAAGCTGGTTACTTATGTATCCAAATGGAACAAATGCAATTTTAATAAAGGAAAGTAGTACAAACCCCTTGATGGTGAAAATTAAGATTAAGAATAGATTTACAGGGTTTTTGTTCTGCCCTGGGAACATCTGGGAACTGCACAGACTAACAAAAAGTGAAAAGGAAGTAAAATCAGAGTTGTTACAAGAAGGCTACATTGGTTTTGAAAAAGAAAACTCAGTTTTCTAATGTTAAACAGTGCAGGGGAGGAGTGTAACCTTTTTAAAAGGTGAATCATCATTCCTAGAGGCTTTCACAAGAGGCAGCTCACCCTTTTCTGGCCAGGAGAGGGGGGTCCAGAGAGTCTGGAGGGGCTGATGAACAAAAAAAAAAACCCAGACTTGTGAGGCCACACCTGGACCCATGGCTGCACATTGCCCATTCACTTCAATGTATCAGGAAGTTAGATGGGTTACATTAAAAGACATTATCTTCCAAATAAATTAATATGAAGTCATTTTTTCTTATGATTTCCATGTGCATTTATTCTTCTTTTAAAACATACCAGCAGGATTTAATAAAGCAGGTTTCTCACTGTTTTGCATTTCATGCACACTCATTAAGGCTTTCTGGAGGTACATACAGCTACAGTAGGATTGGTTAGAGCAGAAACCTGCTTTTTTTGCACACATAGGCTTTGTTATATTGCTTGCTGCAGATTTGTTGCTGCAATCTGACACAGACTAGCTGTGCTTCTCCAAACCTTATTCAGCATCCTCTCAGTGTAGATGCTGCTAAAAAAGCTTTCAGATGGACAGAGGATGAATGAAAGGGTCTGGACAGGCATAAAAAGACTCCATTAAAAAGTGTCTTTGTCATAAATGTTGTTAACTGAAACATGCCTCTATACGGTTACTGCTGGTTATGAGCACTGGAAAATGAAGAAAGCTGACAAGAAGGAAATCAACTAATTTAACATGTGGGGTTGAGTTACTTAAAAAACAAATGGTTTGCTTAAAAAAGCAAATCAAAACTGAAGAATCCAAGATGTCTCAATGAAGGCTAATTTGGACATAACAAGAGGTGTTGTGACTTACTGGAAAAGACTGCAGTGCTAGACAAATTGAAAGGCAATTGAAAAAGAAGACTGCATTACAAGTGGATTGGTTCAATCAAGAAAGTCACAGTCCTGAATTTGCAAGATAGGGGCTGTTGGAAGTCTCTCATTCATAAGTTTGCTGAAGTCAACAAGAAACATATATTGTTTCTTGGAAAATGCTATTCTTTGACTAGATTGTCTAGTCCTGGATGCCACCTGAACTGCAGAAGTGTAAGTGTAATCCCAAAATGATGAGCATCAGTTTTTGATACTAGCTGTGACAGTACTGATAATTAACAATTACAGGTTTTCCCCAGACATTGGGTCTAGTTGTGTCCGACTTTGGGGGTTGCTGCTCATCTCAATTTCTAAGCCAGAGAGCCGGCATTGTCCGTAGACACCCCCAGAGTCATGTGGTCAGCATAACTGCATGGAGTGCCATTACATTCCCACCAGAGTGGTACCTATTGATCTACTTACATTTGCATGTTTTCAACTGCTAGGTTGGCAGAAGCTGGGGCTAACAGCGAGAGCTCACCATGCTCCCTGGATTTGAACTGCTGACCTTTTGGTCAGCAAGTTCAGCAGCTCAGTGGTTTAATCCACTGCACCACTGGGGGCTCCAAATAGACATACTCTGTTGGAACTTTCATATTAGCTTGCCTAATACCTGACAAAAAGAGAAAGTTGTCTTATATTTAAGGAAGTCAGTTAGAATTTAAACATCTTTTTCATTGAAACTTTCCTCAAGCTGGTATTATAGTTAAACTGCCAAGAAGTTTTGCTCCCAAAAACCTTTTTCCTGGAACTTGGCTCTGATGCCAGCTCATCTTTGGAAGATTGAGAAAGTAGTTTCCCTTTTCTGCACCACAAAAATTTCAAACACAGACAGAAAAAGAACAAACTATACCAAAAAAATTCAGTGAGGCTACAGAAGCTTGCTTTCCAGTGGTCATTTTAGCCGTATGCGAACACCTGAAGACTGAAGCAAAATGGAGAGATTTATCCTTCTTTGATTTTTAACATGAGAATAATTGCTGAACCAGATGCCCAATATAACTTGCTGCTCAGTCCTGATGACAGAACGTTAGGACTGATGTTTCTTTAAGACATATTCCATGTACCTTTCTGTGTAATCCTTCTTCAAACTAGTGTAACCAACATGAATTTGGGCAACATTTCTTCATCTTTATGCCATCTGACAATCTTGGCTAACA